TCATTCACTGGGATTTAAACCCAGGCAATCAACATAAGAGTCCTTATACTTTTGCATTTAATCATCATAACAATTCTAAGACCGTACTTGCCTCAACATTTTTTAGATGATGAAACTAGTTCAGAGAAGTAAGATAAATTGAAATGGATCAAATATCTAAGTGTAAGGGCTAAAACTATAAAACCCTTAGAAGAAAACATAAGTGTGTAAGTCTTCATGACCTTGGTTTCTTAGATTTGTCACCAAAGCACAACAACCAAAAGAAAAATAAATTGGACCTTGTCAACATTAAAAACTTTTATGCATCAAAGGACAGTATCAAGAAGGTAAAAAGACAACCCACAGAATGGGAAAAAAATTTGCAAAGCATATCTTTCATCAGGCTCTAGTATCAAGAACATATAAAGAATTCTTACAACTCAACAATAAAAAGACAACCCAACTCTGGGAGGCAGAGGCAGGAGGATTACTTGAGGTCAGGATTTTTAGACCAGCCTGAGCAAGAGCGAGACCCCATCTCTATTAAAAAAACAGAAAAAATTAGCTGGGCATGGTGGCATGTACCTGTAGTCACAGCTATTTGGGAGGCTGAGGCAAGAGGATTGCTTGAGCCCAGGAGTTGGAGGTTGCAGTGAGCTGTGATGATGCCATGGCACTCGACCTGGGATGACAGAGCAAGAAAGAAAACAGACAACCCAGTTAAAAATGGGCAAAGGTCCAGCTCATTGTTCATGGCTAAAATACAAACAAAATAAATAAATCGATTTTTAAATGAGCAAAGGATTTGAGTAGACATTTCTCCAAAGAAAATATACAAATGGCCAACAAACACATGAAAAGATGCTCAATATCATTAGTCATTAGGGAAATGCAAATCAAAATCATTTCATATTTACTAAAATGACTAAAGTAAGACAGACAATAACAAGTGTTGGTGAGGATGTGGAGAAATTGGAATCTTCCTACATTGCTTGGGGGAATGTAAAATGATGTAGCTGTTCTAGCAAGCAGTTTCATAGTTCATGAAAATATTAAACAGAGTTAATGTATGACTCAGAAATCCTCATAGGTATATACCCAGAAAAATTGAAACCATATGTCCATATAAAAGTGTGTACACAGAAGCTTATAGCATTATTCATAATAGTCAAAAATGGAAAAAACTCCAGTGTTTATCAGCTGATGAATGAATTTTAAATGTGGTATTATCTATACAGTAGAATATTATTTAGCCACAAAACTGAATTAATCATGCTACAACATGGATGACTTTGAAAATATGCTAAGTGAAAAAAGATGCCAAGTTGTGTAATCCCATTTATATGAATTGTCTGGAACAGGCAATTCTGTAGAAACAGACAGTAGAGGTTGCCAGGGGATGAGGAATGGGGGTGTGACTGCCAATGGGTATTGGGCTTCTCTTTGCGGTGATGAAAATATTCTGAAATTAGATAGTGGTGATGGTTGCACAACTCTGTGAATATACTAAAAAACTTTGAATTGTATACTTTAAGAGGATGAATTTTATAATATATAAATTACATCTCAATAAAAAATCACATATGTGAGTCCCATTATATTATACTGGACAATCCTGTTCTAGACTACTAGCCCTGAAGCCATGTACCAAGAGGTACCATGATATAAAATCTTTGGGTAGTGATCTACAGGAGAGAGCCCGGGTTCCAGTTTCATGCAGTACATCCCAGCCTACTTGTTCTTTCCCTGGCAGCTGAGGTGACATCATGTGAGTCTTCCCCATACCAGCTCTGGGACTCCATGGGGATGGCTGAAACATCACTGACCTTATTCCCCAGGTCCGGGACACCCTGATGCTGGCAGACAAGCCCTTCATCCTGGTGCTGGAGGAAGATGGCACAACCGTAGAGACAGAAGACTATTTCCAGGCTTTGGCAGGGAATACAGTGTTCATGGTCCTCCAGAAGGGGCAGAAATGGCAGCCCGCATCAGAACAGGTTAGGTCTCACCTGTTGGGGGGGAGGGGAAATTGGGAGCCTGGGAGAAGACCTCGAGGGGTACTAACTATCTGCTTGTCTTGATGCAGGGATCGAGGTACCAACCCTCCCTCTCCCATAAGCCTGCCAAGAAGATTGATGTGGCCCGCATAACCTTTGACCTGTACAAGCTGAACCCGCAGGACTTCATCGGCTGCCTGAACGTGAAGGCGACTCTCTATGATACATACTCCCTTTCTTATGATCTGCACTGCTGTGGGGCCAAGCGCATCGTGAAGTGAGTGGATTGCGATTTGCTGGGGGCAGGGAGGGTGTCAAGCAACAGGAGAACCCTGATCTGTTCACAGGCACCTCAGCCTTCTCAGGGGCTGGGGCTGGCATTGATGCTGACAAAGCTTAACATCGTATTAGAGAACACAGAACTTTACAATTTATCAAAATGCTTTGATCGCACTAGTGTGTGCCAAAGGGGCACACGTACTCCTCCTGGTGGAACTTGGATACATTTAGTTTTATGATTACTTTCTACTATAGCAACTACATTTTTTCACTGAAGATAGTAAATTTTCCTAAATAGTCTTCTAATCAACTTTTACAAAGTGAACATGTGTCAAAGATTTTATTGAATTAATTAATTAGAGAATTAGCAAGAAGTTACAATTATTTAAAAGGAGAATTAAAAATCCCACACATATATAGGTCCGTCAAGAATGATGAGATAGGCTGGGCATGGTGGCTCACTCCTGTAATCCCAGCACTTTTTAAAACATTAATTAAGTAATTTATTTATTTATTTTTAAGAGATAGTCTTGCTCTGTTGCCCAGGTTGGAGT